TCTTTACTTCTTCCCTTCTTTCTTCCCTTCTTTCCATTCATTCCTCTAAAATGTTTTCTATCCATCTTTTCTCCTTCCTTCCTCCTTCCCTTCCGATTTTTGACATGTCATTTTCAGCTTGACTTTTATTGGGGGTCAATTCAAGATCTTGGGCTTTTTAAAAAACACTTTTGCATGGATATGTGTAATTTAGTTTGTTTCTATAATTCTCTTGATTGGCCCATGTTTGGACTTCATTGTATTTTTTTTTAAAAAAATGTGGTATGGTCTCAGCTGTCGCGATCGTCTTTAAGTCCTTTGCTTGCGTGGGAACGTTTGAAGAATGCATCCAAAACTTTACAGGAATTGAGCACTGAACCCTGCTGCACACATTAAAAAAAAACACAACTACCACAACCTGTTGTTTCCACTGGTCAATGTTCGCTGAGTAATACGATGAGTTGAGTCAGATTTAGAACAGATTAATTGAAATCTTAGTAAGGGACTTTCTGGATTTCATCCTTCAGTTTGTGGATGACTTAATATGGACCCAATGCAGTGCTAAAAGCTTCGAGAGAGAGAGAGAGAGATGAGTATAGGAAGGCTATCTTTTCCAGACACTAATTTTTGTTCCAGTAGGATAGGATTTGCACTATAATTCCAACCAACTTGCAGGAACTAAAACGCTAGCATGCATTTCTCAATTTGAATCTGGCTAAGGCACTCTATTGCCTCGTGCTTATATTAGCAACGTTTTTTCTTGGGTTTGGTTTCTTTGGGGGTTTTTTTCTTCCCCTTTTAAAAAAAAAAGAAAGACTTTTTAAAAAAACAACATGTCTGGGTTTTGTTCCTAAAAATGCAACCCCGTATTTGGAAGTCGTGATAAAAACCTTTTGCCTTCTGAGTGGTTTGTTTTTTTAAAAAAATTATCTAGGCAACGCTAGTCTGTAACCGACTTGTTTTTGAAGTGTGACGCAAGTGGTAGGGCACATACACAACTGTTTTTCTCTTAGCATCTCCTCTAAAGGGATGGAAGCACAACCGTTTTACATTTGGCCTAAATTTGTTCGCGGTGCTGCTATTCTGTAGTGCATGTCGTGACGCTGTACATACATCGCTCCTGTACACCATGCCACCTCTGATACCTGTCTACGTATTGGTGCCAACCTATCCATGCAATGACTTGAGATTTCTACAACATTCCTGATCTGACACTCTTCTTATTATTTTTCCTCTTCCCTTCAGTGCTGAGAATTTTTCAGGTGGGAAGGACGGGGGTATTTTGGTTTAAATCCTTGTAAATGGCTCCCCGCACACCCCTCCTCGACCTGCCAGGAATTAATGGCACCTGCACCATAAAGTCTAGTTGATGTGGAAATCTGTTTCCTGTAAAACCCTTGTACACGCGTCTGTCTCTTTAACACATCAGAATTATGTAAGCCATATAGCGGTTCATCCATCTTTCCTTTTATTTCCTTTTTCTTTCGAATTTTCTCTCCCCACCGGATGGCCGATCGTTGATCATTCACACTGTGGTTTGTGGAGGTGTCTTTTATTTTTTATTTTTTTGGTTCCTAAAGAGTTCAACTCTCTCTCTTTTTTTTTTTTTTGAGCATGATATGGGGCAACTTCTGTAGGATCTAGGACAATTCCCCATGGCCGACTTGCTACAAGACAAGAGTTGTCACTTAAATGAAGAGGAAAGAATCATTTAAAGAAAGGATGCAAAAGAAGGAACGAAAATGAAATGTGAATGACCAAAATTTTAAAAAGAAATTAAATTTACTTCACATAAGTGTTGAATTGGCCCGTGGCGAGTTAGCCATGTTGAGTTGACTTGGCCATGGCGAGTTGGCTGGAGCGAGTTGCCCCATTCCTACTTCTGTCGACTTCTTTCAATTTGACGACTTACGGGAAGACAGTACCAGCATGACTGAATTTTTCAACCTAACAAGGTGATCCTCTATAGAGACCTGACCCAGGTGTCCAAGGGAACAAGAAACACTTGTCAGCAACCAACCCACATATCTGCTTCGATGTCGCCCGAGAAGAAATACGACATATCTGGGGTTTTGCTCTTGGTGTATTGAAGATTTTTTCCCCCATGTCGGTTACGTTCACTTAGAATGTGAATACATTCGTTGGTTGTGTATAAATGGGTTTTTGTATCGAGCCCCACTCGGATTAAATGTATAACCAATATACAATAAACATATTTGCTTAATGCTGTGTCTTTCAGCCTCTTCAAATTGGAGGATCCGCACGTTTGAGTTCAAATCATTTCAGTCGACTTCACGGTTGCCCTGCGATCTTTAGAGCAGTGCTACTGATGAGAGAAAACCTTTCCCCCCTCTTTTTCTCAGTTATTATATTCCACCTTTGTTATTTTTACGAATCAGTCCAACACGTGTTTAGAATAGAATAGATCAACAGAATTGGAAGGGACCGTGGAGGTCTTCTAGTCCAGCCCCTTGCTTAGGTATAATACATATCAGACAAATGGCTGTCCAATCTCTTCTTAAAAACTTCCAGTGCTGGAGCAACTTGTTCTACTGCCAGGGAATTCCTCCTTAGTTCTCGGTTGTTTCTCTCCTTCATCAGTTTCCACCCGTTGCTTCTTGTCCTTCCCTTCTTGGGGTAACCGGTCAAATAGGGTCCATGCGGGGGGAGGGGAACCCCCCCTCCTAAGCCCTCTTTCTCCTAGGCTGTCTTGGTCTTTCAGTGGCTCCTGGCAGGGGGGGGAAGTGGGTGAGATCCTCGCAACTCAGATTAGCCAACCCACAATATAATACGGCCACAACGGAGCCCGAAATGTATGTCGCTAAGTGAGAAATTGGTTGAGTGACTTTGGCGACTTTTTCTTGTCTCGTTTGTGAACCAGATCGCTGCAGCAGTTTAAATTAGTTAACACGGTTTTAAGTGAATCTGGTTCTGTCAAAAGATGATTGCATGACACACACCCCCTCCCCCCAGGGTGCTCTTAAACTGTCATAAATAGGAGCCCGTCATCAAATGTAAATCATGCAGCCCCGGGAATGCTACAATAGTCATAAGGGTGAAAAACGGTCACTGTTTTTTCAGTGCCGTCGTAACTTCGAATGGTCACTAAAATGAACTCTTCTAAATTCTTGTGTGTCCCTTGTAGGTCATCTAGTGCAACCCACTGCCCAAGCAGGAGACCCTACACCATTTCTGACAGATGTCAGTCCGTTCTCTTCTTGAAAACTTCCAGATGATGATAGATAGATAGATAGATAGATAGATAGATAGATAGATAGATAGATAGATAGATAGATGAGAGAGAGAGAGAATGAATGAATGAATGGCCAAGTATGATTGGACACACAAGTGATGAAGCTCCCATTCCACTCCATTCCATTCCATTCCAATATTCCATTCTTCCTATTCCTGTTCTATTATATTCCAATATTCTATTCCATTCCAATATTCTATTCCATTCCATTCCATTTCTATTCTATTCCATTCCATTCTACTCCATTCCATTCCAATATTCTACTGTACTCTAAGCTGGCAACACTTTTAAGGTGCCCCAAGGGTCCACTGATTTCTTTAGATGTTTGGACTCCCAACTCCCAGAAACCCCCAGCGTGCTTTAAGATGCATGAAGTCCAATTCCCAGAATCCCCCTCGCCAGTCGCCTTTTAAGATGCATAAATGCCAATTCTGAAATGTTGCTAAAGATCCGATGCCTTAAATGGTAAGGTTTTTTTGTGGGGGGGGGTGGCGTGGCTGAGTGGGAAGCATGACTCCACCACCCATCGTGGCTTGCAGATGAGTGTCCACGATTCAGCCCTGACATTCCCTGCAAACCATGGTCCCAAGACCTGGGAAAGGATGCTTAAAGCCAGACCTTCTGCAACCTGGCGCCCGCCCTCAGCGCGTTCTATGCGCTGCGGGCGCCCCGGCCTCCTTGGATGGCGAGAGGGTGACGTCACGCCCCCGCCTCCCCCTTGACCGTTCCGCCTCCCTATCACGCGAGGGGGCGCGGCCTCCCGGGCCACTCCCCCTTGGAACCAGCGCTCCCGTTTTGTTTTTTTTTCCTCCTTCCCTCTGCGTCACTTCCGCCGGCGGTTAATCAGACCCAGACGGCGTTTCCGCTTCCGCTCTTGGTCGAGTTGTCCCTTCTGTCACCATCAGCTGGTGAGTCCCTTCCTTCGGCGTCGTTCGTGACCTATTTTCCCTTTCTTTTTTGTTTTTTGTTTTCCTTTCGGGGGACTGAGGCCCGGTAGGCCGCTTCGGGCTATCCGGTCGCCGGTTAAAAACTAAAGGTTAAGCCAGCTTGGCTTTCTCCCTTTTGAAAGGGGGGGGGGGGAGTGTTCGGTAAGCCTGTGCGCGGATTGTCCAGGGATTACGGTAGTCAGGTTTCTCTGTTAGGGCGCACCTCTCCTTTTTTGCCCCCCCTCATTTTAGGGTAAATACGGTAACAAAGAAACCACATACACACACATAGGTTTATATATATATATATATACACACAACACACACACACACACACATATACATATAATATGTATAGCTGTTTATATGTTTTGTGTGTGTGTTTATATAAATATAAGAGTTTCTGTGTATGTGTGTGCATGTATATATGTATGCATGTATGTATGGTATTTAGGTTTCTTCGGGTATTTTCCCACGTACTAATAGTTGTGGTTTTAAAGTTATAGCGACACCTCGGCAGAATCTCATCTGCCATCCTCAGGCTCGTGCATTGGGTTCTTCTTAATCGTGTGTGTCAGGCTTGGCAGCCACATACATACGCACACATACACATACATATATATATATATATATACACACACACATACACATACATATATACACATACACACACACAGGCATGTATATGTGTATGCACACGTATATGAGGATTGCTATGTGTTTGTGAGTTACTGTAGGCTATATGTCTGTCTATGTCTATCATCTACCTATATCATTCATCTATCTATATCTATTTGTCATCTATTGAGAGAAGAGAGTTAAATTGTGTGTGAGATACACATGCATAAATATGTGTGCATGTGAGTGCATATAGAGAGAGGGGAGGGGAGAGAGAGAAATAGGTGGTGCTATGTTGGCTTAAAAGTTAGCTTATTTCTCTTGCTGTTGTGACTTTTCTTGATGTTGACTGGTCCAGCAAAAATATGTGCTGAAAGGAGAGCAAAGGAGCGCATTCTGGACATATTCTGGACACCGGAAGAAAACGCAAAGGGTTATTGTGCCCTGGTTATTCCACTTTCCCCCCACCCCATCCTCTTTCACTGTAGGTTTCATTAATTTGGGAGGGCCATATCAATACATGAACTTCAAGCAGTGTTTTAATTGTATTTGTATTTAGTTGTCTCCCTCTCCTTAACTTAACTTCCCTCCCACCAATGCAATAACCTGTTGAGGTCAGGTAAGCTAAGGAATAGTACTGGTGCAAAAGTTCACACCCAATTTGGTTTTTGAGCACCTTACTCAAGTTCTCTGCTTTCTGGACCAGGCTGTTTCTTTTTTTTTCCTTTTGGAGTCATAGAGTCCTCCTGGCATTCCAAAGCTAAGTTCAGATATAACCATTTCCCAAACTTGCATACTCGAAGAATCGGGTGATGAGGTTGTAAAGTCTTCTGGAAAATAAGCTACCACCCCACACAACCTTCTTAACCTTAAGTCCATCAGGAGCCCATTTGAACTCCTCCTCTTCCCGATTGTCATCTTGCTTTACCGTTCCTGCTTTCCTTCAGCACTGCCATTATAACTGAGGAGTGCATTTTTAGGCCTTGGAAATGAAGCTTCGCACGGCCATTATTAGTTCTGCTGCTTTCAGAATGAGATAAGAGTGCCAAATGTGGAACTGTAATCTCCAAGGGATGCTTCATTCCTGATGGTTATTCTTTCCCAAGTGTTCAGTGTTTGGTTTCTGTACCTTACAAACGCCACTAAATGTCTTGATATAGTAATATTTAGCATAGTATGGCAAAAGGACTCTTTGGTCGAAATTTCTCTGGTCTCTGATAAGAGCTCAGATAAGAACTCTGATAAGAGTGTTTCAGTGCAGCAGTATTTAGTGTCAGACAGCTTTTGCAGAGTTGCCAGGAACACAGTGAATTATTCATAGTGGTTTATATTGGTGTCAGGTAGGTAGGTAGGTATCCTGAGCTCACGAGAAGTTTATTGTCTATATATGCTTGGTGAAAAGGCTCTCCTTAAACTGATATATCCTGCATTGGTAGGTTTATTTTTGCTATTTAAACCCTGGTGCACCTCAATAGCAGAATCCCTCTGATATCTCCAACCAGCAAAACCAAAGGTGTTGAGAAGGAGCCATACAGTAATATCTTCCATATATTCTAATGCCTTTTGTGATTTTTATTTTTATTTTTTGGTCTCAGTCGCTCCTTTCATTTTAACAAACCTTGTTTTGTTGTTGTAAAACTGGATTTTTTTTCTTCGGGTCGTGAAGGAACATCCTTTCTTTTTGGTGTTAACTGTACAGAAAGAAGCAACCAACTGGAAATGGACAAGGAACGTATAACTTTGATTCAGTTGACAAGTTTTGATTGGAGCTAGTTTGGTCTAGTGGTTTAAGGCTCCAGGCTAGAAAGAGGGAGATTATGAATCCAAGCTGTGAAAGCCAGCTGGGTGACTTTGGGGCAATCCTTCCCTTTTAGCCCAACTCACCTAACAGGGTTGCTATTGTAGGAGGAAGATGCGTTGGATATGTTCGCTGCCACGAATTATTTGTAAAACTAATAAAGGCAATTATGGAATATTTCCTTGCCCTAAATTAATAGACGAATTCATTTTAAGCTATCCTTGCTGAATGTGTATTATGTTCATTTAATATGAGATCCTTCTTAATATTTTTCCCCACCTAGCTGATTGAAATACTTGATTAGGACCAAATAGATGATCAAAGGAACAGCAAAGAATTGGATCCAGCCTGCGTCCTCATTGGTTAAACTGCTTGCAGTCCATAAAATTCTGTTAGGATAAGGACTACAGTCAAACAGATGTTGATTATTCTGTACATAGAGCCTTAAACTGATTTCTGTAAATACCTTGATCTACGCATGTGTTTTGTCCAGTTTCCAAAAATGTCTTCTGTTTGTTTTTAATGTCCCAGCACAATTGGATCATGAGCCCCTTGAGGGAACAGAACTGACTGAATGGAAGATCTCTGCCATTCCTTACTGGGGGCCATTTGAGTTGAGGGGGGGAGGGAAGCGCTTTGGGTTTCTGAACGCCGGGCGGGCATCCTAGCTGGAAGAAGATGTTTGCCAAACTGAAAAAGAAGATCGCCGATGAGGCTGCAACTGCCCCACGGCCTGGAGGGCTGGCCAGGATGCCCAGATCGGTCAGCAAAGAATCCGTCACGTCAGCAGGAGCAGAGTCGGGGGACGATTTTGTAAGTGTCAGAGACGGCGTTCAAAAACACACCTTTTCAGTGACCCAAAATCACTTATTTTAAAAAAAGACAACGTCTTGTTTGGGTAAAGCCCAGAGAATTTTTTTTTTTAAAAAGACACTTGGAAAATAGCTCATATTACTTAGCGTGACTAATGTTTAACATTGGCAAAGGATTCAACCAATCTGTTGAGGAAGTTTATAAAAAACATGAAATGAGTCAGCGCGTTCCTTTTTATTTACTTCTGGATTAGTCCATGAGGAGTTGGTTTCATTGTCCTTTCAAATCTATTATAACAAGGGGATGGTGAGTTCTAGTCCTGACTTAGGACCAATCACCAGGAGACAGTGAGTTCTAGTCCCACCTTAGACATCAAATTTGGCTGAGTGACTTTGGGCCAATCACCAGGAGATTATGAGTTCTAGTTCCATCTTAGGCACGAAAGCCGGATGGATGATTCACTCTCAACCCAACGCACCTCACAGGGTTGTTTTTTTGTGGGGGGAATCATTTCAAATCGTTTTAGGTTATTGATAAAAATAGTAAAGCTGAGATAAAAAGAAATAAAGGAAAGGGAGATAGGATCCAAACCTGTTTATCACATTGTCCTGGGTTGGCTCATTCCCGAAATTAACCTGAACGTGTCTCTGTTTTGTCGTCTTCCTACCAAGCCATCTGATGGAAGCAGTTCCAGAGAAGACCTGTCATCCCAACTGTACCGAAGAAATGAACAAATACGGAAACTAGAAGTTAAGCTATCCGGTATGTTTTTTTGTCGTGCGAAGAGGGCTAGGACTAGTTTTAAAAAAACATAGATGCTCTCCTCCATTTCTCTGATCTCAAAGGTCCAATAGTCTTGATATATGGACGCGCTTTGCGAATTACTGGTTCATCTGAACCGGTCTGTACTGGCTGAATCCCACCCCTGCATATATGCCAGAGCTTCCTTCCAAAGCTCAATACTGCTTCAGTAGGCCTCCTACCTCCACTTTGCTCCCTGTAGCAGCCTCACGAGGCTAGCCAAAGGGTGTGAACGGCCCATAGTCCTTCCGTGAGTTTCCGTGGCCTCAGTTCTACTCCAGCAACCTCGTTTACTCTTCTACTTGAGCTCTTGTTTCAAAATCCACACTTTTGGCCGACGTAGCTGCGGCTTTCCTATTGCACGATGGAATGGTGGGGGATCTCTGGGAGATTCCTCCCGTTGAAGTATCCGAAAGGGCTATTTGCAATTTACCCCAATGGGCCAGAAGCTATATTGATCCAGAATAATGTCAGGTGATGATGAAATCCATTTAAAAAGAAAAGAGCAAAGTCCATATCTCCCAAAACAATTTCTTTTATTTAGGAAAGCATCAAATTGGCAAAGTCCGTGGTAATTCCGGATCTGACACTCGGGCTTGACATTGGTGGGGAATAGAGGCTTTCAAAAAAAAAACCTGCCCCTTCCCTTGCACCGTGGGTAAAATATTCCTTTTATTGGCAATTTTATTTTACGTTCCGTTCTGTCTCGTCTGCCTTCGTATTTGTAAAGATGGTGATACCCTTGCTATTGGCATTGGAGGAGGCTATGATTCCAAGACGATAAAAACCATTCTTCCTTTCCATTTGTATTTTAAAATATCGAATTCCCGTCTTCTTTTTCCCTTTTGTCTGTCCGTAACTGGTTGGTGCCACCTCGTCCTTCCACTAAGATTACGCTGAACAGGTCCGAAACCTGCAGAAGATCAAGGAGAAGCTTGAAAACGCGTTAGAGACACATCAAGATTGTACGTTGCCTGTTATTTCCCATTTGATAAAAGCATTAGAAACCTCAGAAGAACAATGTTAAAATTATAATCTAGCACGGGGCAGCAATTGTTCTTAGGATAATATGGAGACTGCTTATTTGCTGGGCTGCTGCCTTATTTCAGTTTCATAAACTACAGGTAGTCTTTGACTTATCATTCATTTTGTGACCCTTCAAAGTTACAATGGCACTGAAAAAAGCGACGACTTATGACCAGTTTTCACACACCCGTTGCAGCATCCCCACGGCCACGTGATCACGATTCAGACCCTTGGCCACTGATTCATATTTATGACTGCTGCAGTGTGCCGGGGTTCCCACGAATCCCTTTGTCCACGGGGAAGCCAGAGTTGTTTAACAGCCCCGGTTAAAAAAAGGTTGTAAAACGGGACAAAACTCACTTAACACCTGTCTCGCTTAGCAACCAAGGTTTTCGGGTTCAGTTGCGGTCGTAAGTCAAAGACTCCGTGTACGCTGGCTTGTGACCCGTCGCGGACCCGGTTTACACGACAGTTCATGCCTTCTGTTGTCGCCCACCCAGCCTTTGTGAAGAAACTCCAAGAGCAGAACGAAACACACCAGGCCAGCCTAGGCAAGATGACGGAAGAGATGCACCTGGCATCGGAGAAGAAAGACCAGGTAGTTTTTGTCTGTGAAATGTCACCAGAAATTCTGCCTTGAAGGTGGTGCAAAACCATTCGGGGGAGAGAGACGGATTTCTCCTGGATTCCGTTTTTTTCCCCAGGGAAAAAATAACTTTACAAAGCGATCTAACCATGTGTGATGACTCGGGGAGTGGCACAAAGGCAACACAGTCAAATAATAAGAGTCCCTTTGTTATCTCCAACTTTGCCCCCAATATCCTGGCTGAGGTCTGTTTTCCCTGGCCGTTTCCCTCTCTCCTCCACCTCCATTTCCAGGGGTGGCCAAAGGAAATGCTTGCACATCACGTCCCTTGGACTTTGTCACGTATCCAGCCCAAAAGTAGGGAGCTCTGCCCTCTGCTTCCCCTCTCTTTGCTGCAGCTATTATTCCATGTGCACTTGGAAGTAGCTTCACGCAGGTAGTTCTTGACTCACCGCAACCACAATGGAGCCCAACATTTCTGTTGTGCAGGGGAGAAAAACCTCCCCTTTCCTGTCCTTTTAAGAATTCCTTGTGGGAATGCTTCCCCTCCTCTGAAAGGGCCTCTCTCTGTGAGGACGATGGGCGATTAAGAAATGTGAAATATGCACAGAACTCAAGACTGAGAATGACTTCATTGTCACTTCGATTGTACACCAATCAGCATACTTTAAAATGAAGTTACGTTGTATACAGCTCTCAAAGGGTCTCCACCTCTACTGTGTTTCCCCGAAAATAAGACTCTGTCTTATATATTTTTTTGCCAACAAAAAAGGCACCAGGTCTTATTCTCGGGGGATGTTCACCCACTAACCAACCTCACCTGCATGCATCGCCCCCCTGGCCTCCTTTTTGTTCTCCGAGGCCTTCAGGAGCTTCTTCCTCTGCAGCCAGCAAGGCTTTCCTGAAGGCCTCTGCAGCCGATAATGGAGCCCTGGATCAATCCAGAGTTTTGTTCTCAGCTCCAGAGGCCTTCAGGAAAGCCTGGCCAGCTGCAGAAGAAATGGGCCGGCAAGGCAGGTGTCGGGGTGTGAGAGGCCCTGGCTACACCTGTCCAAAGGTAAGTAGTAGGGCAGCTCCACCACCCCCACACTCCCCACCCTAGCTTAGTTTTTACCCTTCTACTCTGGAGTGGGCGGGATCTTAATTAGGGCCTATTTTGGGAGTAGGGCTTATATTGGGCGTACATGTAAAAAAAGTAGGGCTTAACTTTCAGGGTAGGTCGTATTTTCGGGGAAACAGTAGAAGTTAGAATGACTTCCCTGTCACTTTGATTGCACGCTAATCGACATACATGAAAATGAAATTATGTTGTATACAGCTGTCAAAGGGTCTCCACCTCTAATATAAATAATGACTGTGCCTTTAAGGAAGGGAGGTCCTCTCTGTGATGTAACATAAGCATCTTTTTCTTTCTCTCTCTCTCATGATGTCAGAGCATTGAGGTTCTTTCCTGTGGGCCTTGCTGGTCTCTATTCCATTCCTTGCTTTTTCTTTCATTGAGTTCTTCCGGTCTTTGAGTGCCTCTTTCGTGCTGGCGCTCCGAGTAGCCATGCTGATGTTGAGTTGTCCCTTTCTTTTTTCTCAGGAGTGGCGGGAAAAACTATCCCATCTGGAAAAGGTGAGGAGCTGGCTTTGAAACCCAAGGATGGGCAAACATGGGAACCTCCAGAATCCAGGCCTTGGGAGACTCATCCACACCGGGGAGGAAGGAGAGGGGCGTGGGGGCTCAGATTACGGACATTTGGGTCTCTAAGAGGTGCTGCAGGAAGGAAACAATGATTTTAGGGTGGATGTGAAGGTCCACAGAGCACTGTTTCCAAGTGATCCAGCCTTGGGACTATCCCCAAATCTTTGTGGGCCATTTAGAAATGTTGCATCTCCTAAGACTGGATTTCCAGATCCTAAACATCTGCAGGAGTTGCCCCTCCTTACCTCTCTTTTCAAACTTCCTTAGGTTTGGCCCTGAACGCGAGACTTTCCTTCCTTATTTTTCTTTATTTTCTCTCCCACCCCCCAAAAAATCCTTGTTGTGCCTTGGCTGCTAAAACAGGAGAGGAGGCTCCTTTCATCCCAGTTGCAAGAAATGAGAGAGCAGAGTTTGAATCTGTTCCAGAAGAGGGATGAGATGGATGAGCTGGAAGGCTTCCAACAACAGGAGCTGGCCAAAATCAAGCACATGGTGAGAGGATTTCCTTCAGGTTGGGGGCACCTTGGGCTGAGTTTCCACGTTTTCTTCCGGGATGCGGTTTGATGGAGCTCTGGCTTCTGGCCCCCAATGCGCCACGCTCACTCTTTAATATTATTGTTTTGTTTTTTTCTACTTTGAATCGTGCCTTCCTTTCTTCCCCCAAATCGGTGGGCAAACCCTTTCATTCCATCCTGTTTTGAATGCAAGTCACCGTGAAGGCTCCGTTTGACACACTTTGTAACACACTTTGTGGTTTTACCATCTTGTGGGGCTGCGTTACTAGCTGCCCAGGGCCACGGATTGGACACGCTCAGTCTTGACTGTGAAATATCCCATCTCTAGATGTTTACAGGTGTGGGGGGGGGAAACAACAACCCACTCTGTAATCGCCATGTCAACAGTCTCCTTTGGACATTGACCAATGGCCAGCTTGAGCATTTTTCAAAAGACTCGGGGTGAACTATTTGGGAAAAAAATTCTAGCTCAACATGATTTTAGGAGTCCTGGGCGCTCCCTGAGCTTGGTTGCTGCCTTGCAGACGTTTCATGACCCAACTAGGTAACATCATCAGCTCTAGAAGAGAATGGGATTTGGGGAGGAGGAGGGAGGAGGAGGAGGACTGTGGGATCCTTGGTGCTCCCTGAGTTGAGTTGTTTCCTTACAGACGTTTCATGACCCAAACTCGGTTATCTGAAGTCTGTGTCAACCTGCAATATCTTTTATCATTTTCCCTGCCACAATTTATCCAAGTTGGCAGTGTTTGCTGGGCTAACCCCCCCTGTGTTAAGCATCTCACATTTGAAAGAGTTCCTTCTAAATGTCATTTACATACATCATCATAATCGGCATCCAAGAATTAGCTCTGAGCCGAGGAAGCTCCTTGGATGAGGAGCAAAATGTCTTCAAAGAAAAAACCAGAAAGTCCAGTTGCCTCTGGGGAAGAAAGAAAGGGGGGAAAAAAGCACCTTTGGGACCATGTGTATGGGTGTTATTCTTTCTCCTAAGACCCTTTTTAATTGTTTTCTTTTTGTTTTTGTTTTAAATTGGAGTTTGTCTTTTAACTTTAATGCGATGAATGGATTTATGACGACGGTGATCACGGTTTATCATGTATATCTTTTATGTGCACTGAGAACTTACGCAGCGAAGACAAATTCCTTGTGTGTCCAATCACACTTGGCCAATAAAAGAATTCTATTCTAAAAAAAACAACAACCCCAAAACCTTTCTTAGAATAAACTATTATTTTTTTAAACAATAAAAGAGTTCCTTGTTAAACACCCAGCTTCTGAAAAAGGAGGAGTCCTTGGCCCAGATGGAGGGAGAGCTGAGATCTTCCACCCAGGAGCTGCTACAAACACGAGACGAGCTGCAAGCCGCTCAGGACTCGTCCTCACGCTTGGCCAGAGAGGTCCAGGAGTTGCAACAACAGCGGGGAGACCTTACAACGGAAAGGTAGGAGGAGATGGGGTGAGCTGGATGGGGTGGGGAGCAGAAGCAGAGCTGGACTCGAGCTTCTGAATTCGACCTGTAGCTCAAAAGTTTCTCTTCCTGCCTTCCCATCGCAGGGATGAGCTCAAAGATGCCAGAGAGAGCATCGAAAACAAGATCAGCAGCCTGGAAGAACGGAGCCAAGAGCTGCAATCCTACGTCCAACACGTGTCGGTAGATCTGCAGAAGGTCAGCTGTGTGAAATCCAGCGTCCTGCTTCTTCACTCTTTTTTTCTTTTTTCTTTTCTTCCCCCAAATAAGTTTTTTTTAATTATTATTTTCAATATAAACGTACAAATTTTATGAGGCAGAGAAGAAGAGATGGGGTTGGCGGGCCCAGTCAGAGGTGGGATTGGCCGTTTCTCCAAACCGCTCTAAATTTCCACTACCGGGTCTCCAGAACCGGTCCGAACCGGCTGAATACCCCACCTTGGCACCGCCAGATGTCCTGGAGAAGATTTCAGGACCTTTTTTCCCCCTCGAATCTCCTAGGCTCAGCTGGCTGCCTCTAGTGCGGAGGAGAACCTGGACGTGCTGCAGGAAGAACACCAATCCCTGAAGGTGGAATTTCAAGAGCAAAGGCAAAAGGTAGAGCCTCTCCGGCTCGTGGCCTTAAAACGTGGCGGCGGGCAGGTGGAGTTTTTGACGTAAGGATTTCTCTTCCTTTGGATTCCCCTGCTTAGCTTTGGGCTCCGAGGAACGGCCAGGCCACGAACCGGACAAACAAACAAAGAAAAAGCAGATACAAGCAAGCCTCACGTTGATGTCGCTAGGCGAGCATCGTTGTTAAAGGGCGCTTTGCCCGCGTTACGGCACAACCACAGCCATTAAGCAAACCCCTGCTGTTTCTTTAAGTCATTAAGTGAACCTGGCTCGCCCCATGGATTTGTGTTTATTGCACAAATCAGTTGCCAAGTATCTGAATTTTGATCGGGTGATTGTTCTAAGAGAGTTGCTTCTACTCCTTGGTTAGTTTCCACCCGTTGCTTCTTGTCCTGCCTTCAGGTGCTTTGGAGAATAGCTTGACTCCCTCTTCTTTGGGGCAGCCCCTGAGATACTGGAACAGTACTATTCTGTCTCCTCTAGTTCTTTTTTTCATCAGACTAGACATACCCAGTTCCGGCAACTGTTTCATCCTCCAGCCCCCTAATCATCTTCGTTACTCTTCTCTGCGCTCTTTCTAGAGCCTCAACATCTTTTTTACATCCTGGCGACTAAAAGTGGACGCCGTCTTCCACGTGTGGCCTCACCAAGTGGTATTAACACTTCCCTTGGTCTTGATCCCGTCCCTTTGTTTACGCAGCCTAGAAGTGTGTTGGCTTTTTTGGCAGCTGCTGCACACGGCTGGCTCCTATTTCAATTTAAGGAAGAAGGTCTGATGTGACCACCAAAACGTCTTTCAGGCCGGAGAAGGTGGAATTTCCCCCTCCTCCCAAGGTAGACTTTGCCCAACAGCCTCTCTAGCCAACGGGCTCGCCAAGCACCTCCTCTGTGTGTCCTCCAACAGATGGCTGTCCAAGTGGAGGAGAAGACGCAGCTGGTGGACCAACTGCAGGAGAAGGTGGCCGTCTTGGAGAAGCGATTGGAAGGCAGCCTCTCGGGGGATGAACATTTCCAGGAGCTGTTCAGGGAGGTGAGTGGAGATGGGTTGGGACGGCGGGAAGAGGGGTCAGCTGAGACGGGCCACCGCCTGAGAGAGTCTTATGGGTCTTCAGACTTCACAGGGTTTAAGTCCCACCGGTGTGTGAGATCCAGGTTAGGCAGAAACTCAAGGCTGGACCTCAAGAGAAGTGAACTCAAGTCCACCTTGAGGCGGAGACCTCAAGTGGACACAGTTGAAGAGCCCCCCACAAATTTGGCAGAGGGACACGTTGGCTAATCTGTTTTCCTGTTGGGAATCTGTCCTGGGCTCCATCCACTCTGAAATACAGAAGATAGTGGTGGGTTTTTGTTTTTAAGGATTGAGCAGGAAGTTCCATTTGCTTGAACTTGTAACGGGTCTCAGAAATGGGCAAACTTGGTTTGAATGTTCTACTCATCCCCTTTGGGCAAATTTCATTTGGTTAGGCCAGTTCCCTTCGACACGTGGCTTTCCAGAGGTCGGGATCTCTCTCATTCCTTTGCCAAATTATAGCAGTTGAAACCCAGTGCCTCTGATAAGGGTGAACTTGCTGATCTTGTCGTTATTTGGATAGAATGAACAAGACGGAAAAGGCATAAAGTGCTCCTGATTTAATCTGCACAATCTCTAATTGGTTATGGGTGTTCTTTAATGTTAATTGGTTTGTGTTGTTGGTTGGCTCACCATCAGTTTCTGAGGGGGTAATATATCTTCCTTCCCTCCCCCCCCCCCTCCCTCCTCTCCTCTCCTTTCCTTTCCTTCCTCTCCTTCCTCCCTCCCTCCCCCCCTCCCTTCCTCCCTCCCTTCCTCCCTTCCTTTCTTCCCCTTCTAGAAAAGTGCTCTAGAGCAGAGCCTGGAAGACACTCGACAAGAGCTCCTGGCAGCCCAAACTGGTCACAAGGAGACCCTAAATCTCCTCGAAACTCAGGTAGAACCATGCAGAATCGATCTCGTTGGGCCGATCAGAGTCTCATTGGGCCGAAAAGGAACAGATTCCATGGCTTATATATATATTTTTTTTTTGGGGGGGGGGTGAATTCTTGGCTTGGTAAAGGTGGGAGAGATACCTTTTAAATCTGCCTTGAGTGCCAACTGCTTTGCATTGCCCCTATTCCCTGAAGCAAGGCCACCGTCCCAGGCTGCGTGTGGGGTCGTCCCTTCCCTCTTCCTGGGGGGAAGGCTCCCCCTGCAAGAGGTGTGTGTTACTCTCTCCAGATTGACCAGCTGAAGTGCAGGTTGGCCACGGAAGAAGCCGGCCGGAGGGAGGAGGAAGAATCCCACCGGAGCCTCCAGGCGAGCAGGTCGCAGCAGGTAAACCGATGGCTTCCCGGGGACCCTTTGCAGGGCAGGAGGGAGGAAGCGAAGGGCGGCAGGAGCCCCCAAGGGAGAGAACAGCCTCTCCTTCCTTTGCAGCTGCAGGATTTGGAACAAGCCCTTCGGCTCGCCCAGGAGGCCCTGACCCGGAGCCAAGACGGGCTCAGGGAGAAAGAGTTGCAGATCCAGAAGCTGGTAAGCGCCGGGGAGGCTCCGTTTCCGAAGGTGGGGACCGTTTGCCTCAGCCGGGAGTTGAATAATCCTCAGGAATCCCGTTTTGTTTCAAGTCTTCCATGAAGCTTAGTTTCAGATTCTTCTTCTAAGCAGTTATGCCCTGGAGTGTTAGAATTACCTCTTTCTTTCTTTCTTTCTTTCTTTCTTTCTTTCTTTCTTTCTTTCTTTCTTTCTTTCTTTCTTTCTTTCTTTCTTTCTTTCTTTCTTTCTTTCTTTCTTTCTCTTTCTTTCTTTCTTTCTTTCTTTCTTTCTTTCTTTCTTTCTTTCTTTCTTTCTTTCTTTCTTTTTCTTTCTCTTTCTTTCTTTCTTTCTTTCTTTCTTTCTTTCTTTCT